TAATATTTTTTTTTTCAAAAGATTAAATTTTTTTCTTGAAAAATTTATTTTTGATACAACAGCTCTAAAGTAATAAAATTTTACCATTACTGTGAAAGTTTTTGTTAGCTTAGCAAAATTTATTTAAATCTGCTTACGAGAACTGATAACATAATATTTTCGCTCAATGTTTTTTACGCGGCAACCCTATAGTTTTTTTTTTAACTTTTAAATTTAATGCTTTCTATTTGTAGCCAAATTCACAATTGATGACAACCCTATTTATGAAAAATTTTTGAATTGCAAAAGTATTTATACATATTAAGTTATACTGGCTAATAAAATTTGCAAGATTTAACAAAGGCATTGCAAAAATTTATGGCAACTCTACCAAAATTAATTTTTAAAATTTGTTTAGTTTCAGCGCTGGTTCCCAAGATTTCCGCTTGGTCCAATGGTGCCCAATCTTTTTTGCTTGGTCATTGCGAAAAGCCTGTGGTTCCAATTTTCAAATCAGCGCATAGTTAGGCTTAGGCTATTTTATTCATAGCAGCCACTTAGATTAGGGCCTTCCATTCAATTCTTGCCCCTTCACGAAGTCCTTCTGATTTGCCCTTTGGTGAGTGACTTTGAGTGGGAGGCGTGCGCTACTGTAGTGTTTGACCTACCGCAGGTCATCAAGCTTTGTCCATTTGTCGCAATCGCATGAGACGCCATAGCGCGCGTTGAAGCGTGGGTGGTTGCTCCTGTCGGCCGTTCTTATAAGAGCGGTTTTCATTTTTTATCCATAACTGAGCACACGAATTGTGGTAAAAGAAGTTCGTCCGCACGGACAGAAATCCGTTGTAGTCGAATAAGGCTAAGTAGCTGCGTAGGTGCCACGTATCCGAAATCATCCGTTCGAAACTGGCTTTATGAAGAGGCCGACCCTGGCTGATCCACGGTACGGGTCATATGACAGTTGGCATGGGCTATCATCACCCTACAGCAATTAAACTTTATAAATATGTTATTTAGGTAAAAAAATTAGCAAATGATGGCAACCCTGCTTACCAAAAAAAAATGTTTCTTACATATTTTCATGTAATGTATAGACAAATTAACTATTAAATTTTTTTAATTTATGAATTTAATAAAAATGTAGGTATTAGTGTTAACTCTGTACAAGTAAATTTTTGACGTTTTCGAGTTTTATAAACAGCAATGATTTTAAGGGGTGTAAAGATAACTGCGTACAAAAAAAATTTAAAACTTGTATTTAAATGCAAATTTTTGCGGTTTGGGAATTTTATGAAAAGCAGTTGATTTTAACCATTGCAGAGATAAGTTCGTCTGGAAAAAATTGTATTTAGCTGTAATTTTTATAAATTGAGTGCAACTCTGTAAAAGTAAACTTTTGAGTTTTTAGATTTTTATAAAAAGCTTTGAACAAAACTACGCGCGTTAAGAATTATTGAATAGAAAATTTTCACGGCAATCTTATCTTACGTAAATGTTACTCTGATTGCTGTATTTTTCTTTCGATGCATCGTTTTTTTTAAGGAATGCACTTTTTAAGGAAAGAATTCTCATAGCGCTCTGGTCACACCCTTTAATTTTATATATTTTTTAACTAAAATTCCCACCCATGCTCTACTTAGCTCTGTTACCAACACCACCACCACAGTAGCCACAATAAAATCACAAAAATAGATTTTCTTGCAATTCCTCGACCTGTTGTCTTTTGCTCTGCCATACATCAACATATCGGCTAAAGGCTGCTGCGCCCTTTTCTTCGTTTATGTACATACTCGTACAGCACAACGTTCTCAAGCAACACTGGCAGCAGACACGCTATTTTTTTCAACTCACTATTTCATATTTAGCTGTTGCCTCAGAAAAAAATCATCATTTATGGCGCTGCACCTGTACATTAATACTTCTAAATTGTTGTTGTTTTTGCTGTTGTTACAAATACTCGATATTTGTATGTAGTTCTTTGCAAGTTGGCACTACTTGCAGTAATGGCTCTGGTACTGTTACTACCTTTACAGAGAGGCGTTGAATGTCAAATGCGATGCTATCGCACGTTTTTCCCCCAAAATTTCCATGCCAAAGCTTTTGTGACTCAATAAAATTTATTTGATTTGCATGCACAACGGTACTTTTTATTTTTATTTTTTTAAATCATAGAAAAGGTATATTTAGGCATTAATGCACATTTATTGCTTTGTTATTTGCCAAAATATAATTTGATTGCAATTTTTTTGGTTTATTTAGCCTTTATTGGCATAGCAGCCAAACAATGAGCGCAGCTGCAGGAAAATTTGCATAATTTGTGAAAATGATTTTTTATGAACTATTAATTTTTTTATTATTTTTACTATTTTATTATTAGATTTAAGTAATTCACTTTTAACTATTCTATGTTTATTGTATTTTTATATGTGCTTTTGTTCCCTTCATTACTAGTCGTTTATTTCACAATTTTTCATCAACAATTTCCTTTCTCTTTTTCTTTTTTGCTTTTGTTACTCTTCAGAGCTCCACAATCGCCGTCATCGCCTGCGTCTGCGCGCAACTTGCTCCCGGCTCAAATATGTACCTGCCGCCAAAACCAAATGGCTACAATTATCCAGAGCCCAAAAATCCACTGGTAAGTAGGCGAAAATAATAATGGGCGGTTCAATCGCTAACTCACTGGCAAACTAACAACTGCACACTTTTAATATAATCTTCCAATGGCTTTTGTAGTTATACACTTTTTAATGAATTTAATGAACTAAGATTCCATGAGAAAATGCTGAGTTTTGGCTTGCTACTTTTTCGTAAGAGTTATACAGAGTGAGAAGACGTAACGAATGTAAATTACGGAGCAACTTTGTTGTAAAATTGATTAGACAAATATGTATATATGTAATAAAGTGTTCATTGGAGGGAAGGGCGTCTGAACTGAGGGTAACCTGCCACTTCAACTTCCGTTGTGAAGGCTAAAACTATCTAAGCAGACTATTTTCTTATAAGAATCGAATGTAGACGAATTATAGTTCATTGCTTTGTAACTGGTCTAACATGTACCTGTCGGCATTCTGTTTCTGTAGACAGATCAATCCGGTCCATATAGAACACAGTCGGTTACGACCGTTTAAAAACCCACATGCAGCCTGATATCAGCTTCGTTTAAAATACTTGATAATGTCCTATCTATTGAAAATTTAATCAAAGAGTCCAGTCGGTCCAAGGCTCCTACAACTCCCCTATACTTATTACGTTCTATGTTTACGTACTCTGTAACTAAAATTCTCCAAGCAAATCAAATATGCCCACAAAAGGGTTGCGCTCCCACGAGAACCATTTATGAGCCTTCTTTCGCCAGTTTGTTGGCGATTTCGTTACCTTTGATTCGTCAGTACCCTAATTTAAGCACCTTTCCTTACCAATGTACATTTGTATCTGGTATAAAGGTGATGAAACCCGTTTGTTCAAATTTCTCGGTCTGAGATTGCCCCTCAATGGACACCGACGCTCCAGCTCGGAAAGCATTCAACTCGGAGCCAAAATCGCTTAGGCGGTTACAGCGCCAAATAAGAAGAAGAAGAAGAGGTTGTCTCCCAAGCATATCTCTTTTAACACAGAGTGTCAGAAAATTCGCATTTTTCTTACGCTCGGCATTTTTCCAGAATGTCAATCGATTGATTCTTCTTATTAAAAGTACCGTCAGGGTGCGTCTAGCTAAATTGAATTTTTTTTTTGTGGGAGAAGCGCTATTCGAAGACGTGCCTTTTATACAATTTCATTTTTCCTATTACCATGGTCACACTCAATACTGATTTCGGGGCAGAAAATATCTCTAACTTTATTGAATCCACAGTAAATCATTTCTGAAAGACTGCAAGCCAGGTCTTTTAATGATTTTTCTCTCAAGTTTAGGAATATTTTTGGAGACATCAGTCGCACAAGTCAGAATAACGCGGTATTCATAGAGAGGTCGGCTGCGGCTTAATTGTCAAAAATAAATTGAAGATTTAGTACTTTCTCCAATAAACAGTTTCCCTGTATTTCTCTGATGCTCAGCATACCATCCAAGAACGCACTTAACGCTTGCAATTAATAAAAAAAAAACAACATTCAGACATTGCATGACCAGACCAGTCTATTTAGAAAATTTTGGTTGTGTTTTCTATTTGTAACCACAGCTCTCCGCAGCAGATAATTTTTTTAAAAGACCACTTTTCGATGTTAATAATTAGTACTGTTTCGATTCCTTTGAGATACTTCCCCCTTCTGAACCCATGTACATTTATGCCCTAAAATCAATTTCCGAATAAATAATACAATAAGGTACTCCTGCCTACACATTGCATTCTCTGACTTGCGCGGAATTCTATATTCGTGTAGGCCAGAGAGAGGGTCTCTCCATTAAAATCTCAAGACTAGTACATATTTCCAAGATCTCAAGTGTTCCCTTGATGGAAGCTTGACGGTCGATCTAGCAAAGGACAATTAAACTAAATGCAAATTCCATTTCGTTTCAACATCCACTTGTTCATATTACTCTTTATATTCAGGCCTAGTGATGGCTTATATAATAACTTCTCAGACACTTAGTAAAAATCTAAAATTTCAAGAACAACTTCTTGTTAAATGAAAGCGAAACCATATAAGTGCCTAGACGACCACCCACTAAGCATTCATTTATGTACATTAGCGTGCCTCTCCAAAAACCGAAACCGAAATTCAAAAATGTATTATATGCTAAGACACTGCCCAAAATATTTTCAAAAAAATATTATGATTTGCTGTACGTATTTGAAAATACCTCCAAATTCGCATTACTTCGACGCCGTTGATAAAATGTTTAAACCTTTTTATGCAGACCGTCTAAGCTTAAAATCTTCTATCTTCTGAGGTGAGTTTTTGGAAAAAATATTTTTTGTAAATTAATTTTTTTTTTATAAAAAAACTCCATTTTTGATAATATTTTTAAATTGTTATAGCTTACGTGAAATCTTAATATTTTTCTGAAATATTTTGGTGGTGGTGTCAAAGTAGAATATAATTTATAATTCGGATGGTAAAACAGTACCGATTATTATAATTTTTTTTTTTGCATAGAGAGTGATTCACCCTAATCTACATACATATGCATATAAAAAACAATGCAGTTAGACCATGGTAGTATAAGTTTGTAGCACATCTAATATGTAGAATTGGAAAATATCCGCTGAAAGTAAAAGGGATAGTTGAAGTTATTCGCCCCCAAACACTAGCAGAGTAGTAGTAATTGGCAGCGCATAAGAGGCACGGCACTCCAGCTGACTATCGAGTAAACCGGGTACTTAGTAAAAGGTGAAGGCACGTGAGTTTCGCTGCAGCAGCAGTAGCAGCAACCAACAAACGGATGCACACAAGAAATAATGCAAAGCAATTTTTCGACGGTTTTTCGCTCAATGATTGTCGAAGTGGACAACCAAAAATAAATAAACAAAGTCGGCAATAGCAAATACACCAAGTCGCGGGCGTCGCACGGTTAGTAGGTGAATAGAGCAGCAGCGGCTACAACAACAACCATAACAATTGATTGCTACTCAAGCTGTGCTGTTGGCAATTGTGTTGCATTTGTGCTTCACTTTTGTGTGTATGTGTGTGTTTTTGTGCCACTTTATAGTTAAAAGTTAACCAAATGAATCTTCCCTGTTGCTACATGACGCTGTAAAATAAAAGCTTCATTTTTTTTTGTCCCTTCTTTATAACAGTGGCTTCCACTAGTTTGCTATTCATTTCATTCGTTTTATTGACTTAAAATTTTAGTTTTTTTTTGCTACCTGGTGTACAAAAAATAAAGATGAAAACAGCCTTTTTTGTGCCTGTTTTATTGGAGAAGCCAAAATGTTGCAAGCACCGTGAAATAACAGTGTGGCAACATCAGCCGCCATTGTATGGCTTAATTTAACGTGTTGCAGTGTTGCTAGTAGAGCGAGATTTGTTGATAGTAGTACATACATACATACATATAGATATGGAATTAATGGAGATCACCTACTTACTTAATCGTTACATAGGAGTACATACTTATCTACTAAATAGCAACTTCATTTGCGTTTTGTTATAAATGAGATTAGCTGCAGCTTTTAATAAAGCGATTTTCAGATGGCTGGTTTTGCCAATGTGGCAGATTGATTTGGAAGTATTACGAGGCGATTGAGGGAGAGGTCAGACTATCCCCGACCAATTTCGATCGTAGCGATCCTAGCGCCCTGATGCCGCTTGGCTAACGGAGTGGATATTTACACTCCTAGTCGGCAAAACATTGTTGCGTAGCCAATCGGCTGTCTCTTTTATAGTGGCCACCTCTGCCTGAAAGACTCTGCAGAGATCGGGCAGTCTGGGCCTTAGATTTATTGAGAGTTCCTGACAGTGGATACCTTCTCAAGCTCTTCTGTCCAGCTTCGATCCGCTCGTGAAGATATTGGTTGGACCTCATCTACTGCAAAGAGAGAAGCTTTCGACAAGTTAGGTCGTATCAGACTTACAATGGGCCTAATTTGACCCGATTGGACCGTCTTAGTGTTGAAGAAATCAACTCAGGACTCTATAGGTAAGACTTTAAACAATTTGGCTTTTTTGTTATGTTGTACGGCTGCCTACACGAAAAATAACAAAAGTGAACTTGGACGGGCAAATTAAAACTGTCCTTTGTGATACAAATGGCGTTGGAGGAGGAACAAAAGAGGAATGGAAATGGAGGGAAGAGGGTCGAACTAAAAATAATAATAATTGCGCCCAGATCACACTTCTCGATTAATTTTTGTTTTGTTTAATGGTGCAGAAATTTGTATTAAACTTAACCTTACCATTAATCATAATCTTAGCTTTAGCCTAAGTCCTAGCCTCTGTCGTTGCCTTTGTCGTTGTCTTTTTCTTAACCTTAACCTCAAACACAGCGGTAGAGAAAGAAAAGAAGAAAGCAAAATGCACTTATTTTACCTTTGGAGTGTCACATTTTTTTTTTGAGACGCGGTTTTAATTCACTATCGCCCCTAAAGAAGTTTCACTTCAATACGCGTTCACAATAAAGTTACGCAGGCGACTTAAATCTATTCACCAAACTTCGCTAACACTGAGCACTAAGGAGTTTGAATATTAGACCAAAAAGATTTCAATCGGCTTGTGGTCATTGAAGAATCCCACCGGTGCCAAGAGATGCGCCTCACCTTTAAGAGTTTCTTAAGCGCCATGTACTCCAAGTTGGTACTTTTTTATTTGGAACACCGTATTCTTGTTGCCACTTTTCATTTCTTTCCGGTATATCCGCCAGTAAAACTTCCACTTTCGACCTTTTTAACAGCCACTAGAGCAATAGCACCTACAAAAGCAACGAAAACAATAACAAAGTCTGCGAACCACAACTACTGTACAAATACAACAATTATCATACTTTCAAAATTGCTAGCACCACGTTTTTTTGAACTTTTGACATTGCAAGGTGTGCGCAAATAAACGTAAAGCGACTGGCGGAAAAGAAACAAACTAAGCAAAGACCCAGTAAAAGAAGCAAGAAAGACAAAAAAAAAATTTAAAAAGTGAGAAAAACTAGAAAATGTAAAATTTTGTGAAGAAACAGGCGAAGAGGCGATGTGTTGCAAAAACATAGAA